CCGCATTTGCTGCTTTAGCTGCCACGTCGCGAAAAGAAGATTTCAGCACCGCTTTCACCAAGTTGTTAACTGCATGAGCAAAGCAGTGCAGAAAGACCACCTGTGGCCATCGTATTGCTAGGATTCTGCGAGCTCGTCCGCATTGCCCAGCATCGTCTGTCACGCACGCACCAACACGCCACTTCTCGTCGTGAGCCCGCTCTAAAACTTCTTCGAGCTGTTTGGCAATAGCAATTCCGTGGTGAGTGTCTCCAGCGGGTAGTAGGGCGTACGTCAGTAATACTCCAAAGAGTGAGAGTTGGCAGCCAAGTAAATGTTCCTTGCTTACATTTTGCCATACATCAGAGAGCAAATTGACCCAACCGTTTGTCGACTCTTTCATCACCCGGAGAGCTTCGGTATCCATAGTTTTGCACCGGGTGGCGTGCTCTTTTAAAACCCGCGTACCCAACGCGCGACGAGAAGGGAGGATGTCTGTCAAACCCGGACAAACTAGCTCCATGAAGCGCTGCGTCGACTCTTGTTCAATGAACCAGTCAGCAAAAATGGTTGTCGGCGTGAAGTTCGATAAGCGAACGTTCAATTTGTTTAATTTCACTCCGTGAAAATTTCCGTTTCTCACGTTTCGCTCTCTTGGTTACCGGTAGCAACGTGTGTAAACTCTTGCGAGGGGATCGTTTCTGTTCCAGAACCAATACGCGTCGGGCACGAGATTTAATGGAAGCTGCTGTAACACCACCGATAGGAAGCTGAGCTGCTGTCGGAGCAGAAGGCTGGGGTGGCTTCGGGGTGGTTTCGCTAGAGAGTGCAGGGCTTGTATCTGCGGCGGTAGTTACAAGACCAGACTTGATAGGTGTACAGGGTGAAGGTGCAGGAATTTGTGCTGCTTTGTAGTACGTGCATTTAGCGAGATGGCTCTTGTAGTTACGTGCTCTGCCGATTATGACCTGCGGCGGTGTTGTGGTAGTATCGTTGTCGTAGGCAGCCCTGCAAAACCGGCATTCTCGGTGGCTATAGCCCCCCGGCGCTTTTCCCAACTCCTTTAGCACCTTAAAGTGTCTGGCCTCCTGACCTGGTGGCCTTCCTCCGCGATCTCCCATGCGCCTTCCCCCTCGTATCTTGTCAATAGCGCAGTCTTCGGTGTGTTTGGCCCCCGCTGGTGTGGGCCACACAGTAGCTGCAATACGGCCAAAGTCTGCCAATGGCCTGATGGCTGCTGCAGCTCTGCAAAACCATGTGTTGGCCGTCGATTGGCCCGAAGGATAAGTCCCCGTTGCCAACACTGTTGGAAGGGGTCTCACCCTTTGAACTGGAGAAGAACAAATCTAGGATCCCAAACTTGCTGCGGGAGTCCTTCCAATGAATAATGTCAGGCTTTCAAAATCAAAGATAAAACCGCAAAATGCTATTCACTTGGGTTTTCTTCGTGCATTTTGTATTTCAAACGCTAGCTTTGACTAAATAGAAACACGCGGCATCACTTACTCCAAGCATTGTTTAGCCTTTTGCATCTCGTTTGTGCCGATCGATAAATGGAATTTGTCACGCAGAAATAGCTCGAAATTTCTATAATATTAAAATGTTATTTTTATTTTTACTTAAAAACGCCAAAATATCACCTCGCTTGAATGACAGCCGCATTTTGAATTGTCATAATCCAGGTTACTATGGCGCCTTCCGCAGGCGAGGTTGTGACGGCGGCCGTGGACGTACGCAGCGTCGGCGAGCTGCAGAGTCAGCTGCGCGCCATGTCCTACAGCGAGGTACAGTCGCTCTACCCCCCATCCAACCTTGTTTTCACTATACCAACGTGCTCTACGTCGTCTATTGCAGCCATTCGGAGTGGAGAGTGCGCGTCTGGTGCGTCGCCTCCTTACAGACTTGTTGACGGCCTCCGAGGCACGAGAAACAGCCGAAAAGAAGCTGGAGAAGGCGCAGAGAGACGCGCTCGAGCTATCGCAGATCCTACTGCCGCTGCGCAAGGAGAACGCGCAGCTCACGAAGGAGAACAACAGCGTACGGTGAACGGTTGAGCGAGGTTTTAAACATACAGACTGACGCTTATTAAATCGCAGCTCCACTTGGAGATAATTCACCAGGAAGAAGCTATCACAGAGCGGGAGAAGGCCTGCGAACTGCAGCTGGAAGGTCTACGAGATGACGTCAAGAAGCTGCAGTTCCTCAACACTCAAAAGACTCAGCAATGTACCAAGAAAGTGGGTAGAGCATAAGGTAGCACGCTTTACTTGTACTCTAACATGTTGTATTTATCTTATTATTACAGGAGCAAGAGGTGGCGAAGCTGCAGGCCCAGCTGGAGCGTGTTCTAGCGACTGGAGGAGCTGTACCGGGTTTTGGCTCTGCGTCCATAGAGATGAGAGGCTCAGATGTAAGTTTGTCACCCAGGAGATTATCTATCGACAGTCCGCAGAGGAGAGTGCAGCAGCCAGAGCAACACGCACAAGTGGCCAAGGATTTACAGGAACAGCTGAGCGCGCTGACGAGAGAGAACGAGAAGCTGCGAGCACAGTGTGAACAGTTCGACGACAAGCTGGCCAAGCGCGAGAAGGAGATTGACAGATTGTCCAAGCTCTCGGTGCAGGTCGTGAGTGATAAGGAGAGCTCGTCCAGGAAGCTGCAGGACTTGGAGGAACGCTATCAGACCAGATCGAAGCAAGAGGCTATGGAGCTGCATGCGGAACAGCTGAGTACGCAGGTGGACATTCTCAATGATCAGGTGGCCAAGTATGAGAGCAGACTGAAGGAGGCGACGGAACAGATCCGTCGGAATGGCGACATCGCAGAGAGGCTGCAGTATGCTGACTATTTTTTGTGTACTGAAGCACTGAAATCTACTGGACTGACGCTTATTTTGCTGCTGCAGACAAGCCGAGCTGGATCGAGAGCATTTTGTCAAGGAATTGAACGTACTGCGGACCAAATATCAAGTCCTGGAAGAAGAGTATTCGCGATGTGGGGACGCACACGTACCAGCTTCCCAGCCAGTAGCTGCTGACTCTGAAGCTGAAGAGGAGACCGCGACTGATGTAACAATGCTGCAAGAACAGGTGCAGACGCTGACGACGCACAAGGACCGGCTTGAAGACGCTCTTCGCGCGATGCACTACGACAAGATCTCGTACACGAACGCGCTTTCGAACGCCAATTCGCACAACCGTGTGCTGACCAGTGACCTGGCTCGCGCTGAAGCCAAGGTGAAGGAGCTTAACGTGGAGAAGGCGAAGCTGGAGCAGTCTTTGGCGGACGCTAGAGCCTCTCTCGATGCACATACACGTGAGCTTGATGTGCTGCGTGAATCGTTGAAACAGAGTGAAGACAACCGCGTGCTTGATAACGAGAAGAACGCGTCACTGCATCGCGAACTGCGATCAATGGATCAGTTACTGTCCCAGCGAGACGAAGAATGCCGGTCATTGAATCGTGCACTGCTGGTTCAGAAGGGAGAAGTGGAGCGCTTGACGGCCAAGCTGGACAGACTGGAAGGAGCAAGAGGCGAAGATGGAGCTCAGGATGGCAGGAAGGCGGTGTTTGCGCAGGAAATGAAGTGGCTGGAAGAAGAGCGACATGAGCTTCGACGCGAGAAGGAAGAACTGATGCTGCAGGTCATGACTCTCGAAGAAGAACTGCAGAAGGCGAAGGTTTCAATGGAAGAGGCTGGACAGGAGAAAGAGAGGCTGTTGGAGAAGATCAACGTGGCGTCCCAGATGCAAACCAGCCTTGAATCTATGCTGGAGACCAAGAAACGAGAGTGTTCTGAAGTCCAGAGACAGCTCGTGGAGAGTAAAGAACACGTTCGCGAGCTCACAGACAAGCAGAATCAAGCGCAAGTGCTGTTGGGTCGAGCGGAAGAGACTGAAAACGAGAAGCTGGTCGTGCAGAACGAGGCACTGGCACTTAAACGGCATGTGGAGGAGCTGCGTGACCAGAATGCAAGCCTGAAGAGCCGCGTGGAGAACGACGAGTTGTACGCTAAGAGACTGTCGGATCAGATTCAAAAACTACAGACAGAAGCTGCTGTGACCACCAAGAAGTGCTCTACGCTTGAGAAGGAGAAGACGGAGTTGCAGAACAGCTATGACAGTGCCATGGTGGAGCTACGCAACGCTCGACAGACGTGGAATCACTACCAGAACGAGTTTGAAAAGCTTTCAAAAGAAGTCCAAGCACAGCAACACTCGCTATCGTCCGGACAGAATGCGCTACAGTCCAGTCAGAGCTCTGTCAGTGACCTGAGGAATCAGGTCCGTCAGCTGCAAAGCGAGTTGAAGCTCAAGCAGAACAACGCGCACCAGTTGGAGACGCGACTGGAACAGGAGAGGACCAGTCACAAGAGCGTTCAAACGCAGTTGGTTCTGCTGCAAGACGAGCTGTTGCAAGTGAAGGAGACAAACCGTGCACGTGAGATCGCGTTGAAGCAATTGCGAGCTGAACTCCAGTCCAAGGACCGTGCGTTGACCGAGAAGACGGAGGCTGTGGAGAACTTTAAGCTGTTGATCGAGCAGATGGAGTCGTCTCGTGACCAGATGGTGTTCCAAACGAAGCAGCGACAGCAGCAGATCCAGCGGCACCAGCAAGAAATGGACGACCTACACACGAAGATCAGCTCTCTGGAAAGCGAAGTATCGGCGAAGAACAGTGAGATTGCGTCGCTTAAGAAGCTGACGCGAACGCTGGATAGCGAGAAGGACGTCGTCCATGACCAGTTGGATGCACTGACTGAAAAATACCACGAGATCGAAAAGCAGAACAATGAGTTACGCAAGGCTGTGCAGGCTAAGAAGACGGACGCTTCGGGTATGCAGGAGCAGATGGGCAGCTTGGTGAACAAGCTGAACGAAGCGGAAGACGAGCTGAGCAAGATGCAGGAGCGTTGCTCGCAGCTGGAGAGTGAAGTGGATCGCTTGGAACACTTGAAGGGAATGCACACGGCTGAGCTGGCTGCTCTTGCACAAGACTTGGAGAACATGACGGTGGAGAACCAAGCGATTAGTGAAGAGTGTACTCGGTTGCAACGTATGGAACACTCGCATTCCCAGTCGACGAAGAACATGAAGCAGACGACTCGAGAGATCGAACGCGAGAGGGATACGCTGCAGATTGAGCTGGAAGATCTGCGCCACACATACCGATCTTTGATCCAGGAACACGAGGGGATGCAGAAGGCACGAGCGGAGATTTCAGCACTGCAAGAAGAGCTCACTGTTGTGAATGAGGCATTGAGGAAGCAAGTGGCGACGCTGGATAACCAGCTTGAGGTGTTGAGGGAGAAGAACGTGACGTTGACGACTGAATCTGCGACGTATCGTGACCAAGTGAGTTTTCTGACGGAGAAGCTGCAAGCGAGTGAGGAAAAACAAGGTGATCTTCAGGCAAGAATGCAGCAACTTGTACAGGAGTTGGATGCCCAGAAGCAAGTGTCCACGGAGATATCTGCCCAGCGATATGGCGCTCAGGCAGAGAACGCAGCCGTCTCGCAGCGGATTGTCCATTTGGAAGCGAAACTGAGCAACTGCAAGTATGATATCAAGTCTCTACAGGATAAACTTCATGCTGAGCAATCGCAGCGCCGAAGCATGGAAGAGGTTGCGTCCACTCTCCGCCAGAAGGTCGCGAATAATGAAACGTTGATTGCGCACTTGGAGGAGCAACGAGATGCTATGGCTCAGGAGATTCAAGCGGCTCATCAACGTCAAGTTCCTCCCTCGACTCCTGTGATGAATATGTCCGAGCTGAACCACTCGCCACCGTCGAATGACCAGGCTTCTCATGATAATTCTCATGGTAAGAGAGAAGCACACTCTTCGTCCGTTTCGCCAGCATCGAATGGGACTGGAAGCACCCCGGAATCTGGCGGCAAAGCGTCTAGCTCGTCTTCGTTCCTCCCTATGCATGCGCTGGAAGAAGCACAATTGAAGTGCCAAGAGCTGGAAGACCGTCTTGCTCAGCAAGATGACACTATTAAGGTACATCTGATAGGTTTGCTAACGTGTTGTCATGGCTAACTTGGTATCGTGATTGTGGCAGCAATTGGAGCGATCTCGAAGCAAGTTTAAGCGATTTGCTGCGAAATACGAGCGGGAAATCGAGCAGGTAACGACAGCTGCGGATGTTGGATACTGTGTTAGCTTTAATGACTTTTTTGTAATGTGTTGGCCAGCGTGACCGACGAATTGAAGAGCTACGAAGCAGCTCTCACGCGTCATCCTTTGTGTCTCCAGACGCACAGTCTTTCCGATCTAGACACTCGAGGTCTTCTTCCTCGTCATCATCATCCAGCCGGTCAGCAAGGCCACCTGTAAACACCAGTGTTACCAGCATACCCGCCTCCTCTCAATAGATAAAGATATCGGCGCCTGAGGACAAGGGACGGTCAACACGGTTGACTGGAAATAATAGCTCAGCCACGTGTTGAGGCGGACGCGTTACCATATTTTTGGCAGACTGAGTGATGCCTCTTCCAGTCCACTCCATATCAAAAACGAGAATGAAATCCCTTCAGGCAGACGATCTCCCCACGGCAGTACCTTGTGCAGACGACACTTGTCGACGCAACTCGCACATTCGTCGGTCACGTGATGGATCTGTTGAGTGGCTGAAAACTCTGCGAGCACCCGATATCGTCCCGCTGGAACACCTTTCAGACCCCATGTCTGCATCTTTTGACGCGCCTAGACAAGTATTGAACAGGTCCGGTACACAGCGTCTTTCTTTCTGGCAGGTATTCGGACTGCTTGGCATCCCGATGCTGCTTTTTCTCGTCATGTCGATCGTCTGGACAGCGTGGTTGATCATTTTGACTCTAGCGCCGAACGAGACGGCGAATTATTTGATGCATACTGGCGACTACGATGACGGGCATTTCTGGTTACTGGCAGAACAGGAAATTGGGATTAAATTTGCCAGAATTGGTGGGTTAATGCTGGCCGTGGTGGGTTATCTCCATATTATGGTCAAGATGCTGGTTTGGCGTACTGTTCCAGCTTCTTTTGAGGTCAAAACGGGAGGAGTCCGGAAGGCCAGTATTGAGAACAAGAAGGTAGTGATGCCCACTCGACGACGAAGTATTACTCTAGAAGGACTTTGGTATGAGCTCACTAGTATCAACGGACCTTATCGAAAGTTTTGGGTAAGTTTGTAGTGGTTAATTGCTGGCTTAGACATTTAACCCCTTTCAATTTCTAGAATTTAGCGCACAAAACAGCAGATTTGATAACACAAATTATTCTGCTGAGCAATTACCTAGAACAAGGATTTCCAGACATCCTGGTGTACGGGTGGGTGGCTTTCATTAGCTGCAACTGCTTATCCTGTGCCTTAAACATCCTACTCAACAAACACTCGGCATTGACAGAAATCCTCGTGGATTCCATGTAAGTTTTGCACTTTCGATAAGGATTTTTTTAACGTTCTTCGTTTTCTGTCAGATTTGATCTCATCGCTACGATCGTTTATCCTATTTTGATTCTCATCTATTGCTACCACAACTTCCAGTTTGATCATGAAGTTTTCCGTACGTACGTTGAAGTGCTGCCCCCAGGAAGCTTCGAGATCATCGCTCGGCTGTTTGCTGACCCTGCACAAGTGGAA